TGGAGCGTACCTGGGACTCTCGGGCATGAAGAGGATACCGATGCCGAGGATGAGCGGCCACAACAAGCCAATGCCGACCACAGTGCGCCAGGATCCGGATCCGTCGATGTAACGCGCTCCGATGGAGATGCAATCTGCGAGAGGAGCGGGGTCAGGAGGACAGCAGAGCGTGCGAGCGTGAATACGTACAGGCGACGAGAATACCAAATGTGATGAAGAGCCTGCACAGCACGAGCGTAAGTTAGCGCTGCATGACGCCATGGCGTCAATTCGGATCACGTACTGGTAGGTCGCAGTGAGGGTACCACGGATCTGGGGTGGTGCAGTTTCGGCCTGGTACATGGGCACGGCGGCACTGAGGGAGCCGACGCCAAGGCCACTGACGAGGCGGCCGATGGCGAACTGTACCCAGGAGTGGAAGGCGGTGATTTGGATGATGACGCCCACCATGAACACGCCGCACTCTACTGTCATGGCCATCCGACGGCCAAGAATGTCGGCCGTCCTATCGAACAGACGGTAAGGTCTAAGGAGCTCTACGATAGACCGCTGTAACTCACGGTGCACCGATGAGAGCGCCGACGAGTGTTCCGATGGACAGGAGGGCGACAATGAGACCTTCACGGACAGTGGTGAATTTGCATGTGCTGACGTCGCCAGGGGTGCCGCACTGAGCGAAGCGAAGCTTGAAGTCTTCCATGAGGAGGATATCTGAGATTTGACCGGTATCGTACTGCAGACAGGTATTAGGGATGATCGGCGATAGGAATGGGCTGGGGAACGTACACCAAATATGAAGCCTCCCATGGAGGCCAGGACGGCCAACATGATGGCAATCCACCCGATGGGCAGACCGTCTCTGCACAAAATCCGATGAGTCTGCTTGCGTTGGGTGGTTGTGAGGAGCACTCACACGTAGAACAGGGCCATTGGGGCAGAGGGATTGATCTAAGCGCCGGTCGGGTATTCAGGGGGAATGGCGCAGACGTCGTACAAGTCGTTGAAGTCGTTGAACAGGGACCTGGTCCTCGATCGAGGCGAGGGTGTACAGGAATAAGCAGACCGAGCGCGGATGCGAGGCGGCATGTTCTTATAGTCCGTCCGCCGAATCGGATGACATCACTGGCCGCGCCTGTTTATCCAGCAAATTTCTCGCGGGCGTACGCTCGGTGGAGTCGGCCAATCAGACTTCTCAATGCTTGTGTCGGGCGCGGGAAAGACCGTTGTGCCGCTCAACCATCTCGAATCGCATTCCGTCGCGTCGGGGCTCGGTGTGCGCCGTCGCGACCGCCGACACCTGGGGTGTCCCCAGACCCCGCCTCCGCTGCACGCCCCGACGGTCGCCAAAGTCGCTCTGATCTGGGGCACTCTGCGTAACAGATTTTCGGAACCAGGCGGGCGATGGACCCGCATAAATTCTTCAAGTCCAGGCGGCAAGGAGTCGGACGCCGGAAAGCTGGGCCGAAACGGTGGGTTTGTCAGATATCGGTAAGCGTTTTCACGAACCTCGAACTTCGACGAAATACCTTTCTCTCTCGGCATACATGCGCTCTACCCCCTTGGAAGACCATCCTCGAAGTCTCGAAGGCACCTTGGCACATCTCGCATACAGATCAGGCGTATCATGGAGTATCGGAAGTTGGCTTGGGATAGCGGTGGGCCTCGAGGTAGCGCCGTTCGTTACTGTATTTCGCCGAGCGAGGGCCGGTTGCACGTAAAACTAGTGCTGGATATGGGGTGCGTACATCATCGTATACGCGGTGTATGGAGGTCGTAAATAGCAGAAGTACGGTAGCGACTTCGGAAGGCGATCGTCCAAATCCGCCACGACGTCCAAGCACCAAACCACTGGCGTCTATGCCAGTGGCACGTCTCGTGGGCCGCATAATGATCATCGCAGTTGTATGCAGTTGAGTCCTCTCAAGTTATCGTTAACAACGCGGGGGCCATATATGTGCACAACTTCAGAGCCGCATGCAGGCTCAGGACGTCGACACAGCTGCTACCGTAGTACAGTAGTATACCCGTGACGAGCAGCACTCACCGCAGTGAGCCTGCAGAGTGAGCCGCACAACCTCCGCTGCTGAAGCGCTGACTACGCCAGTCTTGCTCAGCGTGACAGCGTGTGACATGCCGGTGACAATGGCGTGATGCTACCCGAAAAGGCAAAGCTGTTCATCTCAACGGTCCACGGTGGCTGAGCTCCGAACCTCCACATCTTGAACCACGACCACCATGGCGGACGCAAAGGTTGCTCCGAACAAGCTTGCTATGTCCCGCGCCCTCGGCGCCGCTTTCTTGAACCACCAAGTCGAACAGCTCGAGAAATCCGTGCACACTGGCGGCAACTGGCGTGGTCGCCGCAGTCCTGAGGCATGGCGCGGCGTCGAGACGAAGCGCAGCTTTTCTGCACCCGGGGCGAAGATCATGAAGAGGCGCAACGAAGAAAGCGGAGAGGAAAAAACGAAGGGAGATGCTCAGAAGACGGAGCGGGAGGGACGACGGAGCGAAGAGGGCAAGGGTCAGAAGGATGCTGACATCGTGATCGTCGACGCTAGCGTTCTCGTCCACGGCCTCTACCACCTCAAGAAGTGGTGCAGAGAGGGCCGGGAGGAGGTCGTCATAGTTCCTCTTGAGGGTGAGTGTCTTCGGCTTGCAAGAATTCCGTCCATCATTCTGACTCCACACAGCCTTAAACACCCTTGATCTACTCAAGAAGGGCACCAGCGTGCTCGCTCAGCGCGCCCGCGCTGCCTCTCGCATCTTGGAGGCGCAAGTCGGGACGAATCCCCGCATCCGCGTTCAGCAGGACGACGCTTTCGTACCCTGGGACAGTATCCCATTCGACGACCAAACCGCACCCGCGCTCGCACTGAACACATCCCCGGAATGGGTGCGCCGCACAATCTGCTGCGCCCGTTGGGAGGTCGAGCATGCCACCGAGGAGCTCAAGAACGGGAAGAACGTAAAGCCCCGCGTCGTTCTCGCCGTTACCGACGGCCCCACCGAGCCCGCAAACCCCGCACCGATCTCAGCTTCCCCGGTGCCGCTGCCTGCGCCCCAGCCGAACCGGTACGAGTCGCGCCTGTCCGGCGCACTGGTCGCCCGCTGGGCATCCAAGGCCGGCGTCGACGTGCTCGAAGTCACCTCGGCACCGCCGCAGTCCAGTGCCGGAAATGCTCCGACCGATGCCGCAACGAAAGGCCGCCGTTCCGCGGAGGGAAGGCGCTCGGGGGAGGAGGAGCGCACGAAGCGCGGACAGGGACAGCCTGGGAGAGGGCGGCGCAATTCGCGCAGCGCTGCTCCGGGGGCTAGGCCGCCCCCGACGGCGGGGACTGGCCTGGTCGAGCGTCCCCCGGCCGTGATGGCCATGATGGAAATGGTGGCCCAGCCCAGCCGCGTCGTCCGTGTTCTCGCACGTGGAGAGAAGCTCGACCCGTAGGCGCATGCTCAGCGGCACCATCGACAACAGGCAAGTGAACATCCTCCGTCCTTCCTGATAGCTGCTGACCTTGTTGATAGAAGACCAAACCGTCCTCAGACTACAGCCTGCCTGGCGTTAGAGGTATCCGTTCCGGATAGAGCCTCAGCATGGACGCGGTGCGTCCTTCAACAGGTCCCCAGCCGTGCACGACTTGCGACTCGCACGTCGCCCGCGGAGTGGGCGGATCGGCCGATCCGGACACGAACTTGACTGGCTTTACATGGCATCCCGGGGCGGCTGCGCGCGCGTTTGAGCGGTTTTGCGCAGTTGCCGGCAGATTGAGGTTGCGAGCGTTATGGTATGCAGTATGGTCTCCCTTCTCGTCTCGGTGTGGCACGAGTTCTGATCATGATCCGGACGGCGTCCCTCCTCGATTGCTTGCAGTTCCTTGTCTCGGCGCGGTTCCCGCCTATATGCCATCCTCCCTCCTATGACCCCACCTGTTTTTGTTCCCTTCTCCTCCCCTGTACCAAACATCCTCGTATGTCTTGAAATATATGAATCCATTCTGCATTTTCCTACTCTTACACTGTAGTCTCCATGATGACGCGGACCGGCCTCCTGAGGACTTACCTGGGTAAGGTCAGTACACCATCGACTTCTCGGCCAATGTACTCACTGTCACTCGTCCCGTTACCCCACCTTGGTTTCCTTCCCGCCCGCTTGTTGCTGCAACTTCATCTGCAGGACGTTGATAAGGTAGTTCATGTTCTCCTGCTTCTTCTGGATCGTCTCCTGGAGCGCCTCAAGGTTCGTGCGGATGTACTCGACCTTGGACTCGTAGTGCTTCAACGCCTGCGCGCGCGTCTGGATTGCGCGCATCGATCACTCAGTTTCGCTGTATCCGGTCGACGCAAAAATCGAGTGTGGCGCACCTTCTTCACGTAGTAGCCCGTGCCAATGTCCACGATGACGTGCTCCGTATCCTGCAGCTTCCCAGGGACGTATAGCGAGTTCGTGAGAGGCACAAGGATCGTCTTGTCTGCACCGCATGCATGCTCATGTTCAGTGGACGGGTTTCCTCTATCTGTATGGACACGCGACGCACCCTTGTTCTCCGGCTTGACCTGCCCGACGTTATCGATGCACGCGCGGAACTTGGCCTGTGCTTGTCGCAGTTGCGCGTACGAGTTCGAGAGGTGGGTGAGCTCCTGGAGAAGGGTGCGGGTGCGCGGTCAGAGACAGATATCGGGTGCGCGTGAATGGGGAAAAGACGAGGGGCGCACCTCCTCTAGCTGCCGCCGGACGTCCGCAAGCTGTGGGACGTCGAGGTCCGTCACGTTGATTTGTTGCGGTGCTGCAGAGCTCGATGCCATCGTGTTTATGAGGGGAGCGGGATGAAGACGAGCCGTGAACTTGCAGCTCCCAGTGCCTGGACTGGAGATGTGGTGAAGGCTGCACAAAACTGGGTGACGAGCAGAGGGACTGACTTCACAACGCCCGTTTAGCTCAGTGGTAGAGCGCGCCACTCGTAATGGTGAGGTCGGTTGTTCAATCCAGCCAATGGGCAGTTTCCGGCGCTATAGTGTAGTGGTTATCACTTGGGATTCTGATCGTCTGTGTCAGTGTTCCCAAAACCCAGGTTCGAGCCCTGGTAGCGCCTTTCCACTCTTCTTCCGTCCTTTTTCTTGAGTTTGTGTTTTGCCCGTAGGCGTACGATACAGAACAGTCAAAAGAAGGATCGTCCGTAGACTCCATCCTGGTCGTGAGAGCACAGTAAGGGCCTGGTCGGCTGGCAGTGATCAAGAGATCACTACATGGGGGGAGCAGCAACTGTGAAAAATCTTAAGGAATCAGACCTCAATGATCTCTCGTAGGCCACCTCAAGAGAATCACATTTAGGGACGAATAAGAGAATCTTACAACGAGCCAGATCTGAAGAGCATCACAAGAGTGCCTCCGTCACATCACTGCTAAGTGAGCCAGTCTGACAGGGCGTCACGCACGTCTCTTTCGTATATTCCCGGCCGTTTCTGATCCCTTCCTCGGTCTCATGGTTCACATTTAATAGCAAGCAACAACTATATTCGCTGTATTCGTCGACAGAGACGTACTATACAAGACAACTATGTAGCAATAACTAGTAACAGTGGAATATGATTACATTTAACGAGAGCCTGTATGAAGACGTTAACCATAGAACAGGCAGACAAGAACGGAATGTGCGAGACTTACCGTGGCATCATCATTCAGTTCACATGCACAGTGAAGGGATGGAGGATGACACCAGCTGCAGAACCAAAGTAAGTATCAGGCCGCTTGCACAATGAAGGAAGGCCAGACACTTCACTCACCTGACTGCCCATGGTTGGGTGGACAGGACGCATAGCTTTGTGCCGGAGAATCACATCAGAGCATATCATATTGACTCACCAGGATGTTGCAGCAGCGAGAAGAGGGAGAGAAAGGGGGAGAGCAGAGACGGGGAGCAAACCAAAGGGGCGCAGAGAGCCTGAGAGGAGGGCACAGTTGAGGTGCAGAGAGGATAACGTGGCAGAGACCAGGACGAGAGAGGTGTGGATGAGCCTCCAGGCGACCTAGGACCGGAAGAGAGGAGGCTGGGCAGGACAACGAGCGCATGGGGAGCCTTAAATGTGTTCCACTGACAAAGGCATGACCGGAGATTCAGTGGAGAGCAGAGTTGGACAAGGACGTTGAAGTTCAAGTTCGCAGGGTGCTTGCGTGGCGGGTGCTGGAGGTTCGTCGGCCGTGATGCCGAGCCTGTCACGCCGAAACCTCTGGAACTTGGTCAGTTGGCGGCTGTTCGCGTGCCGGTGTGCTGCAGGGGGACTGTGTGAACCACCTTCCAAGTCTGCAGCATTCCCGTGCTTTGACGAGCAGCAATACCGGGCCATGCGCGCACCAACCCACAGAGTGTCACAGAGCCATCACAGATTTTCTTGAGAGATACAGTTCTCAAGACAATCGTATTTGCACCTGCCATCACTCTCAAGATCTCTGTCGTGTGATCGCTTGTGGAGACCCAATCTCAAGAGTCTTGAAGGTTTCCTTCTGGCCGTGTAGTGATCGCGACCGGTGGCTCCCACTGGAAAACTCGAGCAAGCGCTCACTCTCCTCTTCTAAGCGCTCACTCTCCTCTTCTAAGGGCTCACTTTTCCCCCTCTAAGCGCTCACTAGTGAGCCTTTTTTGGCAGGAGTGATCAGTTGATCGCTGCCAGCCGACCAGGCCCTAAGTACTATCCGAGGCGGCAGGGGTACGCAAAGGAATGCAGTCCATGGTTTGTTCAGGTACCGGTCTCCGCCGGTCTCTCTATGGGACAAAGACTGGCCAGCAGAATGAACGTCGCTTGCCCGTCTTCGCAATATGTTCTGGATGGACTAGTCTACGGACGATCCTTCTTTTGACTGTTCTGTATCGTACGCCTACGGGCAAAACACAAACTCAAGAAAAAGGACGGAAAAAGAGTGGAAAGGCACTACCAGGGCTCGAACCTGGGTTTTGGGAACACTGACACAGACGATCAGAATCCCAAGTGATAACCACTACACTATAGCGCCGGAAACTGCCCATTGGCTGGATTGAACAACCGACCTCACCATTACGAGTGGCGCGCTCTACCACTGAGCTAAACGGGCGTTGTGGAGCTCTGTACGTTTGTCATTGATACATCAATGGGCACCCGCAGGTCGGCGACCTCGAGTGTGGTGATGCGCGTACGCGTCTTACACTTTCCCCACTACCTATCCGCACTCGATTGAAACGAAATGTCCGACGAAAACGACAACACACGCCGCCCGCGCAACCCGTTTGTGCTGCCCTCGAACACCGGCCCCCGAATCGGCCGCGTGGGCGCATGGGGTTCGTCGTCGGGTTCGACGCCCTCGTCTAGGTGCGCCACCGCTTGATTACTCTCGCGCTCAGCAGTCCGTGCTAACCCTGCCGAACTTCTCATGCGCATGCAGGACAAGCAGCACAGGAGGAGGGAGGCGCATCGCGACGCTCGGCGACATCGCGAGCAGCGGCGGGCCGTCGATGGGCGGCGGTCACGCCGGGCACGGACATGCGCATACGGACGACGACGATGACGAGGAGGACGAGCGCCCCGGGGCCGATCAGGGCGAGAACTGGTATGCTGGCGGTGAGCGGAGGTACGTGTCGGATGTCTCTTGGACGAAGGGAGGCGGGTGCTGACGCGTCCGCAGTGGGATCTCGGTGCAGAACCCCGATAGGCCTGCCGCGGTCCCTGGCGGGAACCTCGTACGCGATCTACTGAGGAGGGCTGCAGAGTAGGTTGGCATCCGAGAGTCTGCACGCGCAGGAGCTGAAAGTCGTACTTGTAGGGCAGGACCGCCTGCGCCCCAGCCCGGCGCTGCGCCTCAACGCAGCCGGGCATTCTTTGGCGGAGGCTACATGCTCGGGAGCGACGAAGTGGACAGCCAGTTCGTTCCCGACCCAGATGCTCCCCGTATGTGTTAACGTATCCTGCACAATATCGGCTGTCCTGATGAGTGTGACCTGCAGAGGCCGAAGAAGAGACCGCCATCCGTCATCTGACGTTCTGGCGTGACGGTTTTACGGTCGAGGACGGTGAGCTCATGCGCTACGACGATCCCGCGAACGAGCAGATCCTCGCTGAGATCAACTCTGGGTACGTCACACCACGTCCCCGGTCCCCGTATCGTCGCACTCATCCTTATCCTGATATCTCCCCCCAGACGCGCCCCACCGCAGATCCTGAACGTCGCCCCTGGCCAGCCGGTCGAGCTTCGCGTCGTGAAGCGCCTGAGCGAAGACTACGTCGCCTCGCCGAAGGCGCGCCAAGCGAAGGTGTTCTCCGGGCAGGGCCACCGCCTCGGTTCGCCCGTCCCCGGGGAGTTTACCCCCGCTGCGGGCTCCAGTGCCAGTGCAGCGATGCCAGGCGGGTTCCCTTCGGTTAGCGCGAGCGAAGGGGCGGGCGGGAGCTCGTTGCCGGCTCAGATGACGGCGGATAGCATCAGTACGAGGTTTGAGGTCGACCAGACTAAGCCGACGACGAGTGTGCAGATCCGGCTGGCGGATGGGACGAGGTGGGTGTCTATCGGCCAGCTGTTCGCTATCATCTCGGTCACTGACATGCCAACCTGGATAGGATGGTCGCACGGATGAACTTGACGCACACCGTCGGCGACATTCGCAACTTCATCAACGCGTAAGCTCTCTTTCCTCCAATGTCTCAACTTCATAAACTCACTAGCCATGTCCACTTCTAAGGTCTCGCCCTGAGAACAACGCGCGCCCGTACGTGATCATGACGACGTTCCCGAACCGCGAGCTGCAGGACGAGACGCAGACGATCGAGGCGGCTGGGCTAGCGAACAGTGTGGTTGTGCAGCGATGGTCGTGAGCGGTATGCCAGTCACGGTGATTCTTGGAAGACAGTGGGCGTGCGTGGTAGCAAGCCTGGCTTGGTGTATCATTAGACTGTTCAAGTACTTCGGCGTGAAGTTCGTGCGTATCTGGTGCGGAGGGTGCGCAGCGATGATACCGTCGCGAGATTTCCAGAGCAGGAGCGGATTGCGACAAAAACGGATGGACGCCCGACTGACAGAATTTCCGGGATTTATTTTTCCCCGTATCCCCGACGGTTGCGAGTCTGACAAGTGAGACCTTCGACCCCGCCGCCGTCTGCTTAGCCCGTAGACTGTGCTCATCCGCCTGTAGGCTCTCGAACCCGTCGACGAGCGAGCCGAGAAAGTCGACGAGTCCCGCCCGGTCAGTGGGCGACCGCATCACCGCTCCGACGTCCGATAGCCTGTAGCTGAGGAAATAGGAGGTGCTCAATCGAGGGCGCACTTTGACGCGTGCCGAGCTTGGGCTGGGGTGAGTCGCCTCCTTTCTCTCCGCCCGCTCGAACGCAATCGATTCGACGGCGGACAGTGACGCAGGTTGTGCGCCGACCTCGACGTCGCCGTGTTCTCGCTCGACATGAACGCGTCCGCGACTGCGTTCGCGGTCCCCGCGCCGGCCTCGATTTCTCAAGCGCCCTCGATTGCGGCCGGTGCGACGAGCGCTGCAGCAAGACCGAAGGCTGGGCCGAGCTCAAGCACTAGCGGCACGACGCCGGGCGGGCAGGCGCCGACGAAGGGCAAGAGGACATCGCAGGGAGAGGTGAAGGGATGGGCGGAGCTGGTGAGGTCCGAGCGCGTGTGCTCGGTCGGGTCGTGCGCGAACGTGCTCGCGGCGGGATGGCGCTGGAAACGGTGCCCCGGCTGCAAGGCCGCGGGGGCGAAGCGGACGATGGTGAGCATTTATCCAGTCTCGACTATCGGGGAGGTCACTCTGCGAGGCGCGCCTTTGTACTGCTCAGTGTGCGTGCTTTTACGCTCCGCGGTAAGATATGCAACGATGCCGCAGGTGGGCAGGTGCGAGCGTCGCTCAAATTCATGCGCAATCTACCGCAGCGTAGGCTGCTGGGTGCACGTCGTTTGTTATGTGTCGAAGCTCGAGCAGATCGGCCGTCCTTTGTCCCAGCGCATACTCACTCTCATATCTCGCAGACTGCCTCGTGTGCATCTTGCGCCATTGCATTCACGATGCACATCTCCGCCGCAACGTCCGGCCAACCACCCCAATGCGCCACGTGCCGTCGCAAAGCACTCGCT